AGAGTGTGGAGGGGAAAAAAGAGCAGAGGGAAGCGACAACCACGAACGCAATTGCTTCCAGTACAGCTGTGAATCACTTCAGCAGTAAGACAGGCATCAGGCATGGCTACAAGGCAGAGCACTCAGAGGAAAAACCAGCGTGTACCAAACTGGCCGAGGACAGAAGTCACCCACACAGCAAGCGAGTTACCCAAGAACAACGCACATGCAAACGTTAACATCTGCAGCGAGCCAGCTGCCCCAAGTAGGGTCAGTGAACCACTCCCCTTCCTCACAGAAGGCCTGACAATATTCATGCAACCACAACATGAAGCTATCCTTACCAGCAGGTAACATTCACCTCGTGGGCTGAGCAAAGCTCAGTTGTAAGATTCTCGCTGTTACAGTCCAGTAAGTTTTTACCCGGCACGTCTTTACATTTCTTTGTTCTTTTTTTCACATTTACCTGTTGAATGGTGGACCAGAAATGTTCGATTTCTCTAGCAGTAGAAGCAGCAACAGCCCTCAGTTGCTTCTCTTCTCTTTTCCTGCATGCTTCCTTATGACGTACCACATCCTCATGATGACGAGCCACACTTAAAATCAGCTGAATAAAACCATAAAGTTATTTTAAGTTTTTATTCTGTTCTACCTAAAATGCTTATTTCTAAAGAAAGGAAAAAAAAACCAAACAAACAAAAAAACCACAATCCCTTTAGGAATACTGCCCAAACTTTACACACAGGAGAGACAAACCAAAACTCGCACATCCCCAATGATCACAACCATGAAAATGCTGCCTAGTCTCTCTCCCTTTTCTAGTTGAAAATATCAAATTCTCATTACTCTCTTAGCAGTTATCATCTTCCACCTTCTTTCTTGAAGAAAATCAGTTGCCATCCACTGCATTTCTTCCAAAAGATAATCATGGTGTGATTTGTGTCTTGAGGCCTCTTGGAGTTTGGGCAGACGTTTCAGGGACCATAAACCTTCTCTCCTCAGTGCTGTTATTCGTTGCAGAATTTCATTTTCCTTCAAGTAAACATAATCAAACTTAGGTTTTCTACTGCACCACACAAAAAAAAGACAGAGACACCGTGGAAAATGTTACATGAATAACCAGTGGAAATGATAGTTCCGTCCTTGGAAACATTCTACACTGTTTGAAGTTGCACTTTATTAAAAGATAATGAATAACCCATCTTGTGCAGATTTATGTAAAGTCTCCGAAGGACTTTGTGATGCAGCGGTTTTACATAAAATCAGTAGAGAACTTTGGGAGGCAGTGGTACTCAGTCTTGAGAACTTTATTTTTTCCTCCTAAAATACAGTACCTCTAGACCTCATCAGAAGAGCAGGGCTGGTTCAGCCAGAGTTTTCACCCAATTGAAATGCTCTGGCAGATGCATGTAGTTTAGGGCATTTTTATTAACTCACGTAAGCATCCTGCAACTGCTGGCAAGTAAGCACACGCAGCACAAATTTTCATTGCCATCCCTCCCCCCTTCTTCTAAGTATGCGGCATATAAAGTTAAAATAATTGATTCTGTTTAATTAAATCTCCGTTCAGGATTTCATTACAAGAACAAATTCTACTTCCCTAGGGAATCTGCCCGATTCCTTCTCATTCCTTTTCTTCAACAAAAATCATATGGCATGACTGCACCACTAATTAAAACAGAGAGATACAGCTATCTACGGGGTGTTCCGAATTTAAATGAACACAATATTTTGTTGTAAAAAAAGATTTATACCCTACTGTGCTCTACGCCGGTTATCGGAAGCAAATTATTAGGGCTTGGTAAAGCGTTTTGCAGAACTACAGAAATTATTTGCTCCTTTCTCCCCAGTAATAAATTCAATACAAAACACAAAGGACAGCACTGCCAGGGCACAGTGAGAGTTTAGCACGCGGGTCCCTCTTCCTGCACCTCGTAACTCACCTGCCACCTTCCACACCCAGCGGAAATACACTTTGAAGCATGAAATTAATTTGATTCAATGAGAATGCAGCACAAGAATATTTAAACGGAGAGTGGGGCAGACGTTGCAAATGACATAGATGAACAGATATGTTCTTCACAGCAGTAAAACTCCAAGGGAAAGTGGTGGTAAAGTGCCAAAAATGAATCTTGTCTAGACTTTCTGAATGAGACAGGTGTTACCGCTCTGTTTCTGAGGACACTCTCTTCCCAGTATTCACACAGACTGTTCAATGGTGCAGAATTGATGACAACAGCAATTACAATACACAAAAAGCCACCATTCAAAGCTGCATGCAATATGCAAAACAGACACCTGTTGCTGTATGGGAGCTGGAATTGGGACCAAAACCCAATTATCACAGCCTGCTGGTTGTACCTGCTGAAGAGAAGCTGGCTTCCTGCCGTGTGGAGCTGGTAAGGAACTGTGAAAACTTGACAAGTTTGGTCCATTTTGCTGCTGGCTTTGCTCCTGGCTAATCTGCTGAGCCACTTGAGGAACAGGAGGCATTCCACCTGCAGAGAAACCTTTAAAAATTGCAATTTCAGTAATTAAAATAGTAGAATATCAAAAGAACTGAAAAAAGCAGCAACGCAGACTGTTACGCAGTTGGTCAAATCAACTTCCTGCCGTACCACGACAAATGGCACACCCAAAAGCTGTGAAGATGCAAATCGATCAGTACACTAGTTCAGAACACACTTACCTGCTCTTTAACCTGACAACATGGAGCTCTTTTTTAACACCATCCTACAGGGAGGCGATAGCCAGGCAACCAATCTCCACCAGGGTATCAAATGACCAAAAAGGAAAAAATTTCATGCAACAACATCAATTAAAGAAAACAACAAATTAGGCACAGAGGGGAAAAAACTAAGCCCAATGCATGGAAAATGAGATGTGCAGCGTTCACTAAGATTTTCTCCAGAGGGTTTTTTAATCGTATAATAATTGGTATTAGATATAATGTTACAACTACAGAAAATCCTCATTAAAGCAATTACCTTTAATTACAAAACTTAAAACTTACGTTGGGCCGTAAATACTTTATCATAAAGCCTTAATTTATGTACTAGACGTACCAGGATTATTTTAAAGGTCGTGACGTTTGTTTTAAACTGTTATCAAAACTAATTACAGTGCTCTATTTGAAGTACCATTCTGGGACTAAAATAAAGTTAACCTAATAAAGCATCTCGTTATCAGTAAAAGGGTGCATCGGTCTATCATTTCCAAAGCTCTATCCACTTTTACCTTTCATTTCACTTTTACCTTCTCTTTATTTTGCTATGAAATGGGTTTTGCAGTCACAGAACTGCTTCCTGCCCAACTTTTTATAGTTAATCCCCATGGTCATTGACCTTTTAACTCAATTTAACCACTCGAATTCTTTATCACGCCAGATTTGTCCACTTGCTTGATTTCCAGCAGCCGCAGAGGATGCCGGCAGCACATCCCAAGCCTTGCCCGAGGACGTGTGTGCTCTGCAGGGGACACCGGACGGTCCAGGGGCACTTGCGGCTTTCCCCCGAAGACGGGCTCGTGGTGGCCCACGCGGCAGCCAGCGTGGAGACCGGCGCCCTCGCACTGGAGATGCTGAGGCTGTAACAACAGGGTGATGCCCGGCGTCACTCACGCCATTCCCAGATCTCCCGCTCCGCAAAGCGCTGCTGCTCGAGGGGCAGAACGATTTATCCCGTAAGTACACCACGGCCACGGATGCCATTAATACGAACCCAAGCGGGGTTCGAATGCCGCCTTGAAAACCCCCACGCCCCGCTCCGCGGCCCTGGCACGGCATCTGGGGGCGCAGACCCAGGCGGGAGAGACCTCCCGGAGCGCCCGAGCGACCCG